TTAGTCACCCGTATTAACATCACCCGTTGTTAACATTTGTCAGATAGTTCAAATAGCCGGGTAGATAGATATATTTGTAAATAAATAGTCTTTGAACTTAAACGGCATAAATCAGGAACAGATCGATGTGTTGTTAAAAATATGTTTAGAAGTGGATTTCTGTAAAATAGATTTAAGAATAATTAAAAATTACATTTAGAAATTATAAATTTTACCCTCTTCAGTGTGGTGTATTTACAATATTTTGTATAAAATATTTTATATATAATATTTTATATATATAATATTATTGCCGTTATAAAATTTGTGTACGGTTTCAGTTGGAAACTTCTTTTCGTGGTCTAGATTAGGGCTTACAGTATAGAAATGAAATCTTACTACATGAATAATATCTAAGAAAGAACAGATTCCTTTTCTTGTTGGCTTCTTTTGATTACATATATATTCATTATCTTGTATTCGATATAAAGTTCCATTTTATTAAATGAATATATTGATTAAATCCAATAAGACATCTTTTGTGTTTTAATATCGTATTTAAAGTGATACCAAGAAAATGTATTCCTCATGGCAATATAATCTAAAGATAAAAAAAATTAATAAATATTGATATATTTTTATTTTTCAACTTCAGTACAAATATATGCTTTATGCTATTAATTAAGATAATATAATATAATAATAGAATTACTCAAAAATTTTTTTAACTTTCAAAAGCAACTATAACAAGGAAAAAATTGAAAAATAAGTTTGTTTTTAAACAATGAGTGTATTCAAAAAAAATTTTATATAAAAATAAGAATATGCACATATATAGGTAAAATAAACTCTTGCAATTAAGAAGTTAAATTCTTTTTATTAAGTAATTCATAACATATTTGCAGTTTTTTATTATTGACTATTTAGAGATAGTGCGATGATTTGACCCATATGCATTAGAGTATTACTTTGTACTTGTTCTTATAATATACATATATAGATGTGTATATTAACAAAACTGTTATCTCTTATTATAATTAATTTACTAAACTATAAAACAATTTTTACGAAAAATATTTGCTAAACTATTTTTGATTTACATTTAGAGGGTAAAAATTTTCGCTCCAGATCTCTCTAGAGATTCCCTCTAGAATTCTCTAATCGTTATCTTAATTCATTAAAACAACTATCAGAAAAGTTTTACCAAAACATTTTCTATTACAATGTTAATCCATCATGTTATAATTCTTGCTACTCTACTGATAAAGAGATCTGATCTGGCAGAAGTAACAAATTTGATTTACAGATTCTTTTCATTTTAATTCTTCTGATTTTCTCTTTTATTTTAATTTTTCTGATTTTAATTCTTCTGAAAAACCTAAATGGCTTACAAGGAGAATGCATGAAGCCATATTTGAAACAATATTTATTATAATTAGCTGCTTCCTAGCAACTTTAAGAGCATCACAATATGCAGTTAGTGTTCTTGAGTGAAAGGCTGACCTAACCAATTAAAAGCACATTACTTTCTTAGACATATAACATTTATTTGTATCAAAAGCTAAAAAAGAATTTTTTTAATTAATCTAATGGCAAAATATTTACTGATTCTTTATGTATAAGTTTTGTTGTGTCCTAATAACAATTTAATACATTTTTTAATATTTGAAAATTTTAAAATGTATTAAATATATAAAAGTTTAAAATATATTTTTATATACGTTTTAAAAAAACAAATTTAAGTTCCATAAATTGTCGATAAATTTTATTTTATGGTCTATCCTATAACATAACTTTTAAATTGGTTCAATTTCATATCCTTGAACTTTAATATATAAAATTTCTTACTCAACTCCACAGAAAAAAACACAATACCTTCTACATTCATGTAGCGCCATTTGAAAATTGAGTAAAAAGGAATCTAGGATATAATAAAAGCGAGTTGTAAATTTAAGCGACCCA